GGTTCAAAACCCGAGCTTTGTGGCAATCTATGGGGAGGCCTATATAAGGCCGTCGACTATAATAGTGAGGGCTAAACATATGAACATAACACCCATTACTTACACCATCGACAAATTTTAAGCATAATCAAACAAAAATTTTAACAAGGTAGAGCTACGTTGCACGCTGCTAAGTAAAATTAAGATTGTGGTTGCAGCATGAATGACTCGCTAGACCAAGGAAAAATTACGCGCTATTCTGTAAATACCAGCGTAAAATCGTAAGTAATGCTGCAGTATTTCGTGTAACGAGTGTAGAAACAGTAGGCCTTTTTTACTGGTAACGAGCCATTCTGTTAATCCTCTTAATTTACGTTTTGATTCTTGATCGAGTACAGATGTAGTAATATATGGATCAAATACATTTACTATCCCCATCCTTTTGTTTGAGGAAAAAACTCTATTACATTAAGGTTTTTTTCTTATAAAAGATGGGACAAACGAGCATGCGACTCACCTGATGGTAAGTGATTACAGCCGCTTATGAATAACCGCAACACCATGGGAATTTTGTGTTGCCAGCCTTTTGGAAAGGAGTAAGCTCTTTCCTGGAAGATCCCCAAGTCATGTTGGTCCGAAAAAATCGCCGGTGGTAAACAATGCCACAAAGAAGTTGTACGAGGAAGAAAACTCCTTGTAAAATGCACAGTGGTAGACCGACAAGCATCCAAATGGTGAGGATGGTATCGTGAATTTTCACGCGATGTGCGTTTGTGATATTTGGCGGCTGAGATAAAACCGGAAAATTCCACAAAGCACTTCCGCGTTAAATGAGATAGAAAATTCAAAGCGATTTAAGCCATATCTGATTAGTCTTCGCAATATCCAAACTAACGGCCAATGCCTCCCCCTTAGACTCCACTAGCTCTGCTCGTCTATGAGTCCGGTTGATCAGCAAGATCACCAGCTAATCGAGCACGATGAAAACTGTATTGGCTGCCATTAATCAGCTAGTGATCTCAATGTACCCCAGGAGCTGGCAGTTTATAATAGATACCATTATTTTGGAGAATAAGCTGGTGATAGCGATAGGCCTTTAGTTGGATGAGTCTTTACGGTTGCCTTTTTTAGGGATCGAGTCTTCCAAAGCTGACTTCTTTGAAATCGCGACTACGCCGTGGTAGTAGGAGTACCGAAAAAGACATGTCAAATCCAGCACCAACTCCGGAGCACACGTCTTCCAGCACAACGCCAGAGACTCCATCAGGCCCACTCGACTTACTGACGTCCAGGGAGAAGAGAGACCTCACCCAGAGAGGTAGGCAGAGACTACAGACTTCCATTTGGCACGATCCTGACACACCTCTTTTGCCTCCTCCACATTCATATACCTACGCACACATGCTCTTCGGTTAAGAGTACTCCTAATTTGGCCAGTTTTCAATAAAACGTCGATAAACTTTCGCCTAGGACGTCCCTTTCCGACTCTGCCGTTTACTTCTGCAACATAAATTTGCTTTGTCACTTTTTCCTCATTCATTCTCTCCACCGCTTTCCTCTAATCCTGATCAAAATATCATCTTGCAAACCACACTCTACTTTTATCACACAATTTCTTACCCTGTCATTCAGTTTTAGCCCTAACCTACTCCTTAACGACCGCATTTCTACTGCGTTTATTCTTCTCGCGTGCTTCTTCCGCCATAACCAACATGGTGCTTGGTTTGGTGGTGAACCAAAAAACCAATAATGAAGCGATTCATTCACTTTGCATATAAAGCGTGTACCCAATAGAGCTGCACACAACTCTAACCGCGGTATCGTGACTATCTTTAAGGGTCCGACCCGGGATCTAGAACATAATATGTTAACAGTTAGGTTTTGTCATTAGCAATTGATCGTATATATACATTAGCAGCGTAGGCATTCTAGAGAGGCGTCTACAAAGTAGGGAAGCTCCATTTGGACGGGAAATAAACATGAAACTAATCGCGGAACTAAAACTGAAAGAAAAATATTAAGTTTTGAAGATAAATTTTGGCAAACTTCCTAAATATTATCAGGAACAGGATCATCCCAATCAAGTTTTAATTTCCATAATTTCTGGAGCAGTATTTCAATGTGATGCGCTCAGAAGGTCAAACGGATCGAATATTTTGCAGGTATTAGACAGAATAATTAGTTTTGTTGTTTGTGTAGTGTTAGTGTCAATATTGATAGAAAATTATAGTGAATCTGTATCAAGAGACCAAACAACTCCTAAAACGCTAGATTTCTTATTAAGATTAAAAGATTCTGATTCTGTTGGCCTGAATATTTGAAGACAATTAGTTCTAAATTTATGAATAGGAAAACATGCAGAAGCTAATGTTTCTTTCAAACTAGAGTAATTTTATGTAGATGCACCTTTCAACAGGTCATCTACATAAAAATCATGTGCAATGATCTCTGAGATAACATGATCAGAACATTCTTTGGATAATTGTAATAAACATCGTGTTCTACAAATGGTATTTTATGGATTTTTATAAGGAACTTAAAAATGCGGATTGGTCAAAGTCTAAGGATATGAATTCCCCAGACGAGATTCTAAATTTTATGTATAAAAAACCGCATATTTAAAAGACTTTTCAGACTGCAAAAAATTCCGCAAGTAATATTAAATCTGTAAACTACTTAGAAAGGTCCCCAAGCAGTTTCATTTGCCCTGGATTGACAGCAATATTACTCGTCTTTGTGATAAAAGGGACAAATTGTATCTGTGTGTGTTTAAAAATGGAGTGTATTCTGTGCCATAAGTTACCTCGTTAAGTTGTAAAGTGTTAAGAGGCCGTGTTATATCAACGCACCAAATAATGAGCTGGAGATGTCGTTGCGAAGGATTTCTGTTGACCTGCCTGTACATTTTTATAATATCCCCACTCAAACTAATTAGTCCGAAAACGCACGAGAATGTTAAATAGTTCATCTTGAACCACCACCACAGCTTCTATATCATTTAAAAACTTAGATGTGGTTTTGACGTGGTCTTAGATGATGCGTCAAACACAACACGTAATTTAGTGGTTTCACTTGACTCACGTATGGCGGGATGTTGTAAAAATAACCAAAAGATAGTCGTTCAATTTGAACTTAGTGACCTAAATCTTTATATTCCTTTATAAAGTCTGTATATTGAGTTTTTAAACTTTTTTGAAGTTAATAAACGTCTCTCAGCGAAAAAGGAGTTACTCTAGAATTTTTCAGGATCCTCAAACAGTGGCATCATGATTGAAAATCCACCGTTGTTTGATCGCATAGTATTTACAATAAAATGTTGTTCACAAAATTCATCGCCGGCTGACAAAAAAATTTTTGTTAGTGGAATTTCTTCGAGCTTTCAGATTTTTCTAGAGTGTTACGTGTGTAAGTGTTTGCCATTTTACAAAAGAAATCATTTTTGTAAAACGGCAGCGTTGTTTAATGTTACTATTTTGTTCTGTTTTACAGTTTAGTAGACCAACCCCAAACCAACAAGTTTTGTATCGTAAAGAATTGGATTGTTATTTCCTTGTTTTGTTTGATAACAGAAATAATTTAAGAAAATACTATATAGCATGAATAAATGGTATTATAGAAATATAGCAAGAAGAAGATCATTTTCTGAAGGTTGATAATGATAAAACTTTGGATCAGTAAGTTTAATTTTTTCAGTTAAGTTCTGATACATGAGTTAACTTATAAGGCAAGTTACCAGTTATTTTTGTTATGCTTAGGTATTTTATGTTTGCACTTTAAGAATTTAATAACGAATTTAAAGTTAACTGAAAACTTTCAGTTAAGTAAAATGGAGAATAATTGTCAATTCCGGTAACATGTGTATTAGTTTTAGCACTTCTTTATTTTATTTTATTTTACAGGTTTTCAGTGACGAAGCAGGATTGACTGCTGGTATAAAGCAGAACACGCGCAAGGTAAATAGTATTAGTTTTAAGATATACCACTTTGACCGTTGCAGTACTCAGATGGTCTTCAGAAGAAGATATAGCAAACACGAGGTTGTTCCACTTGTATTATCTTGTTTATTGTTTTCAGGTTTTTGTAGAGTATACACGGATCCAAGCGACATTCAGGAGCCTTATGGCCTTTACGCAAACAATTCATGCAAAGCTCAATTTTTAAAATCTGAGCTGACCTTTCAGCAGGAGTTAACTCTTGAAAGCGCTACAGCTACAGTCAACAATTCTATGTACGCTGGTACAACAATGGCATGTTAAATTAGTTTTATAATTTTAAAAGTAATTAAAGTTTTTGATGATTTAGTTTAAAAATATTTTTTATCATTACTTTTTGTTTTGAATCTTTATGTGATGAATTCTTATGATCACTGCGTGTGATATTCATTGTTCCTAAAACATCGGGACTATCACCCAAAAACAAACGAAGTCATCCAATGAAGCAAATTATCTTTATGTTCTTCTCATTTTCCTAAAGTTATGTTGTCCAGTTTGGTTGGCATTATGTATATAATGAGAACATCTCACTTATCTACAGGTTTGCCGTATGTCTCAAGGGCTTTTTAGATAGATATGCAATCTACAAGAAAGCGAATTGATTTGTGAGATTCACGATTAAATGATTTTGTGTTGAATAATGCTTTCAAATGTTTGATTATCAAAACGTTTTAACTATCATATCTAATGCATAAAATGTCCTAATCTACTGGGTAATTTTTTGATAAAAATTCAGAGGATTTAATATACACAGTCGCACTGCCCTCAAGTGCAGCGCGCAAATAGTGAATAGTGAAATGTTTAATTTTGAAATATTATCGTTTGAGTTTATAAAAGAATCGAAAGCATCGCGAAACACTAGCTATTTAAGGTAATTTCCATCAAATTTATGGAGATCAATTGTAGACAGTTTAATATTATTAAAAGAGCAAGAACTAGAACTCCTAATATGAATAAGGGGTGGAACGTTGTTCTTTTCTTGTTCAATAGTTTTATGAAAAGCACGGTGAGATTTAAAGACCATTTGTGCTAAGATACCGTAGAATAAAATTGGTTTTCGACAGCATCTCTTTCTGGTAAATGTTCATCGGACAAAAGTTCCAATTTAGTTTTAACGGTATCACTATCATAAAACAAATTTTTGATTTTAACCAAACGCAATGTTAGTTCCTTAAATTGAACTTGAAAAATATTTTCTACCTCATATTGAATTAATAACTGAACATAACCTCCAAACTTGGTTATACGACCTTTTATTGATCCACGTAATGACTTTATTTCCTCTGCTTGCATTTTATCAGTATCAATTTTAGGTATTTCTTCAGCAAAAGACATTATGTATGAGCAAATTAAGAAATTAGATTAATAAAAAATAAAATTCCAATAAGTTACACTTCAACACGACGACTTGAAGTAAACAAAACAAAGAAATTAGCGCTCGAAAACAATAGCCGAGTACATTTATTAGACGGTACTTAGGCGGTGCGGTGGATGACTCGGTTCACTTCTGGAATGCTATCTTTTAAATTCAAACAAAAAATTGTTCTGTTAATGCGTGGTAATGCATTATTTTTATCGATTTTACTGCACACACACACATTCGTGAAGGTCAACTGGTAGGCAAAAACTTTGTTGCTAAAAAATCACATTCAATTTAGAAGAATTTCTAATAAAATTAGAAGCCTTATACACTCGTATTTATAAAACCTTCAATAACGGTCTATCATTATTTATATATTTTAACTTAAGTTTAAAATTTGGCTACTCTTTGAAAAATAACCCTGCTCTCTTAAGTTATGGCTATGTTAGTGGAAAGCATAAATTTATGATTAGGTTTAATTTTGAGCTGAGGTTTATTTTATCTATGTGTTATCAAAAAATGTTAGTTATTATTTTACAAGAATTAAAACTACACTCAATTTGGTTAAACTTGGATATATTACATTCATTAATAACTAAAACTAGGTGTAACCAGTTGCTTGAAGGTTAAGGTGCGGCCCTGTGTAGTTTTATATATGGTGAAGCCTCGAACATTTTTTATGAAATATAAACAAAATCTTATTAGCATGAAAAAAGATAATACTAGTCTACGCTCAAAACTAAACCTAAGTATAGGCGACTAATCTTAACTTTATTATTTACATTAATATTTGCATCGTAGTATAACATATAGTATGTGCTACAATATTCCTTTATTTTTAATTTGTTGTAAAAACGGTATATTTATGAACGCAATACATGTTTAAATACTTAATGTATTTGGTTCAACTTGAAAAAAAACTGAACTAAATTCGAATAGTGTACTTTTTTTTAATATTTTCTCTTAATTTATTTAATAACTAACACAATGATCTCCTGGTATACTATGCCATACATAAAAAGCGTCTGTCTGTAGTATCGAAATAATTGCCTTATGAGTTGAGGGGCTTATTAGCATGCCATTTAGATATGAACAACCATTTTGAAGTGTTGTCTGTCTGTCTATCTGTTCGGTTTGATCTTCGTAATGGCTGAACCTATTGTAATGAAACTTTACGAACTTCACGAGCAATTCCAGGCGTTATCTGGACTATATTTATCCGAAACACTTGGTGATTTAAACAAAGAATTAAATATTGAAAAAATAAATGGTATTTTAGTTACTATTACACTTAATAACGCTAAAAATACCGTAACAAATAATAGATCCCAACCAGGAAAATCCCGGTGGGTCGCTGTTATACAATATTTGTTACATTAATGGCAAATATTTCAATCGTCATAAAAAAGTTACCCATGAAATACATTATAACCTGACTATAGAAAAGTGAAACAAACTAATTTATTCATTAAATAGTAATTTGTTTAATATCATTAATTAATTTATTATATTTTAACCTGTGAATAACTATCTAAAACTAACTAAACGCTCAAATTATTATCAAGCAATCCGGCTTCCCCCGTTATAGTGCCAAACGCTGGCTACATTCCCATAAGTACAAGTACATAGCTGAATTGCTACACTTCTCCTTTATGCGAGCTTATGTGCACTTAATATTAAAATTCAGTGAGCGATGTATTCATAGCTCACTGAGTTTAATTGAAAGTTGTGCTTGGGTTTCCGCTCCGTCATGATGTTGAAGATATGTATTCCTATGAATACATATTATTACTATACTATTATTAAAGATATTAATTGTAAGTTACATATTCTGTGATTGTAAATTGTAACTTGTTATTCTTCTCATAAGGTTTCCCATAATAGGGACTTGTTGAAGCGATGGCGTGGTTCTTATTCTTAGTCATTTCAAAAAGTGTTTTGTTAAGGCCAATATAGAAAAAACTCGCACACTGTGTAATCGTAAATTTCCTTGCCCTAAAACCTTCAAAAAATGACTGTGTGCCTGTGTGCCTATGCCGAAGAGTAGGACATATGTAGACTGTAACTCAACTATATTTTTATCTAATAGTACTATTATTATTTATTTATAAGAGTATACGAGGTTGCTTATACTCTTCCTCTTGCTCTTATCAAAGATCTGGTATAATATTAAGGGACATATATATCTTATATATATATATATATATATATATATATATATATATCATATATATATATATATATTAGCCGAATAGGTATTCGACTTTGCATAGGCATAGGTCCCTTAATATTATACCAGGTCTTTGACAAGAGCAGGAGAAAGAGTATAAGCATCCTTGTATACTCTACAAGCAAATTTCTCAATTGCAATTGCTATCCCTAGATTTCTTTTGTAATGTCTTGGAACTCAAATTGACTAATGCTAAATGTGGTAAGTATATGTATATTCCACTTCATTGATCAATATACAATTATCAGGGACGGCCAAGTAATTACAAGTATTTTTTTTATCCATTAATCAGAAGTAGTTACTGTTCCTATTTCTTTAAATCATATCAACTGCAATATTATAATAAATTGGTTATACTACATCTAAGTTAGGGCACTTATATTCATATCTATTTCTATGTTAAAATAAAATATAAAGAAATGTATCATAATAATAATCATTTAATTACATCAACAGTAGGTACACATTTTAACAGATTTAATACAAAAAAGCAATCCACTTCATACAATTTTTTTCAGCAAAACAATGTTTAAAACTTTCATTCTAAACCAACTACTCTGAGACTATACAAAAGTGACCTCCATATTTTAACGTATATTTATGTAAATAAGTGCTTTGAGTATTGAAGCTTGATGTTTACTGTAACTTGAGCTTATCAGGTAAGCAAAATCACAAGTGGTCCATGGGTATGCTCAATGGAACTAGAATAAGAGTTACACAAAAAACGGTCCTTTTTTACTTAGAAATTAGTGGTTACAAGAAATTAATTTTTAAATGATTAAGTTGTTTGTTTGAACAAACTGTTATATTTTCCAAGATATACATTCAATTAGCTTTAATTTAAATTAAAAACCTTGCATGGTTTCTAAGAACTATCATAAAATCAATGCTAACTTATACAATACAAAAGTAGTACAAAAACATCCAAAATGTGTCAAGACTAATATGGATGAGACTGAGATTGATTTGTTTTAAAATATTTTTTTTAGTTTCTACTTTTTATTTATAATGAAACAATAAACAGAGTAAAAGTAAACATAAGTAAATTATTCCCGTTGTTCTACTGCTCTTACGGCCGAGTAGCGTAGCAGTTGGGGTCCTGCCTCATACACCAGATGTCCCAGGTATATCCATTTGTTCCCTGAGTATCCATTTGCGTGATGAACGTAATGTTTATACTCGGGTCATGGTTATAATATATTATTTATTCAATATAGATAACATAGATAATTCTTATTCAAAGTAATTTTTTACTTTACCACTGGTTCGATAAAAACCTCAGTCCAGGAATGACTCAGCGAGAAACCCAGCTGAACTTTTTTTAATAAATTTTGCACTATTAATGGTCACAAAATATTTACAAAATTTTGTTTAGAAACAGCTTGGGAGCAACCACCTCAATCTCAGAGGTTATCATCAACCATGTATTCATTTATATTATAACCTTTTCATAGTTTTGTTTAATTAAATATTTAAACTTAGAGAGACCTTGTATATATTCTGGGACTTTGTTGTAATAGCGTATACACAAGAATGGATTACGGAATCTGTGGAGTAAAGAATCTAGTATCACAAGCTTGTGTTTGTGAGTGTTCACAAAGTATGTATCACTTTTTTACTAAAACTACTTTTGTTTTTGTGAACATAAATCAAATTTTCGTAGATATACTGAGAGGCTAAAGGTTAATTATTTATTTATATGAATGCCGCATTTCCCCACAGCAAAATCACATATGACATTATGCTATGGAAATAAACTAATCTAGCTGTCTCGACACTAGTAATCCCAAATTTCCCCCCTCCTTAGCGTGTAAAGGACGCTCCAACACATACCCTTGCTGTACATCTATCATCGCGCTAAATAGGCTAAAATAGTAATAATTTCCTGTAATTAGTATATACAAAAATTGATCAGTATAGAAGATGCGATGATTACGATTCTGAGACGGAAGGTCTTGACATGCCCCTTCCAACTCCAGTAACAAGCGCGTTCACCTCGCACTGCGCACCCGCCTCGTACTTAATATTATATTAATCTATAACATTTTTTATTGATTAAGTATCTTATTAACCGATGAAAAGTAATTCCTTGTTTTTTACTGACATTTCTTGAATTATCTGTGCAATATCTAAGTACACACGACGGCATATTTTTATCAAAAGATTTTTTTTAAATCAACACAACACGTGACAACTCTACAAGCGCCTAGCGAGTGACTGATTAAAGTGCGGTGTATGCACCGCAGTTGAGTGGAACAGAGTAGCTGGATGCAGTGTTGCCTCTAGTACGTAGTACATAATAGCTCAATGGTCATTTATAATTTTTTTTAAATTATTGTTAATTATATAGAATCAGAATTACAGATATAGGTATATATAGATAGAGTATTAGTATTGTACGAGCTTAGGGTTCGTGACAATAAAAACTGCCAATTGAATTACCAAATTTGACACTTTAATTACTGAACACCAATCAAAACTTAAATCACACTAATAATTAATCACACTTAACACTTTAGTTCACTTTACTTCACTCCGAAAGCATCGCTCGTATCGCTAATTCAATACTAGATGGCGCTAGTGGCAGGTAACCGACATCAACTGTGGCGCGCTACAGTATGATGAAGTGGCTTAGTAAGTAAAAAGGCAGTCAACATACTCCAACAAATGCTTGATTTAAGCATTTTATAAGGACGCGTCTAATACTCACCACGTTGTATAGGTGAACACACCGAACCAGATGAA